AGCCCTGAAATTTGATCACTTTCAATACCTATTTAGGTGATAAGCCTATGTTACTGAGCCTCAATTAAAGACAAAAGGACAGTGTGCTTCCTAACAACACTCTAACTAGAATTATCTAATGGCTATAGGTGTACTATTAGAAAGTGAATAAGATAAAGTGTTCTGTACATTAATAATTAAGGATGTCATTTGAGAGTCAATTTTTAAAGTTCCATAAGATTGAAATATCAAACCACACAAATTATTTACTACTACCATGTTGGATAGGGTAGATGGTTTCAATGAGAATGTTCTAAAAATGACCTATGTTGAAATACGAGACTAGTTCCTATTATGGTAGATTTCTAAATAGCTTCCTTCTAGGGTAACAATGTGAGTCAAATCCTCCCGTAAAGTGTAAAAGGAAGCATATGAGATTTAAAAATTGTGAGCATTTTAACCATCAAAAAGGAAAAGATATTATGAGCCTGCAATCTCATTCTATCCTCTCGATGATACAGGTCAATATTAATTTCAAACCAAACATTATTGAGAAAGATTCCATTAAAGGTCATTTAAGCAAAAGAATTTTGTGAAGCATAACTTCCCATTTCAAATCCACGAATGCTTCTGAATCATGAAATCAAAAGATCTTGGAATATGTGCCACTGCTGTTATAAATCAGGTATAAAAAAGCAATCAATGAAAGTTCTCTAATTGGAAAGTGATGCAAGGCATGTTTTTAGCCTTTTCTATTTGAACCCAATATAGATACTATGCCTTCTACTTTTCATGGTTGGATACTAGTGCTAGTGTTGTTAAGCCAAATCTTATAATTGACTAGTAACCAAAAACCAAATTAAGGGAAGATATTTGTGAATAGAGGCAATCTTTTTAGTTGTGCATATTGTAAAAGATATGGTCGTTAGTTCTAATCTTGGTAAAATAGATGAAAAGTCCACTATGTTGTGGCATAAACGCTAAATACATTCTAAATTTGGCACATAACTAGATTGCATTAAGAGAAATGTTGTTGCTAATATATGGTTGTGATTAGCAGATACAGATAAGTTTAAGAATTGACTTAAGAACTGAATTATACTAAAAATTATGGATCGCCTCTACTTACTATTTTTAGTAAATATAGGTATTTCACCACCCTTACTAAAGACCAATTGGGTTTCGATCATATGGAATGAAAAGTCTAACCATGTAGACTTTAAAGTTTTTTTTTTTAAAATCTACTGCCAAGTTTTCAAAAACACAAAATTAAGACAATGAGGTTAGACATAGATGATGAATATTATGGTCGGTATGATGAAATTAGATAAAATCCTAGACTATTCTTTTGAGTCTTCTCTACGGTTTTGGTGTTGATGCCTAGTATGCTATGCTTAAAATACCAAAAAAAAAAAAAAAGGTTATAGTAAGAGGCAATCGCACAATTCTATACATGTTATGGTATATGTTTTGGTATTCTACACTTTTAGATTTCATGTAGAATTAAGCCTTTGAAACTGTAACATTCAGTTTAAATCAAAGTCTAAGCAGATGAGTTCCTAAAAATTGCTATAAACTATGGTGAGATAAGAAGTCAATTTCTAAGCCAATTTTGAAGCTTAAGGCTGTAATTCATATCTATGGGCCCACGACCCACAATAAAAAAACACTTGATTGGAAAACTATCAATGGCATTCTGTTAGCTATTTAACCATATTTAGAGATTCTAAATTCTATCATCTATCGTGAAATATTAAAATCATCATGTTTGACTATGCAATTTATCTAAAGAATTATTTAGATAGTGAGAGTAGTAGGTTTTGAACACTATAAAGTCATTATCATGGAAAATATGTTGTTATTGAACCAGTCTCATATGTGATTTAATTATTGGTAGAAAATGCCACAAGTTGATTAAACCAATAGCAGATCTCAATAGTCTTATTTTTGGAATTACACCTTAAGTTGTAGAGGAACATGAATATTGTGTTCATGTGTCTTTTGATTCTATTACGTTTTAAACGATTTTTTTAAGATCATATCATTATGAGTTGAATGTTTACCAAGCAGTATGAGATTGTATATGTGTTGTATCATCGTGTGGGGATCATGATGAATGACAACATCATTATAGTTCAATTGGTTATTGATAGACTTACAAGGTTGAAAAGGTACTCTAGAGGTTGGGTAGAAATGTTTAAAGCCAATTCAGTGATTTAAAACTTTAAACAGAAAAAAAAAATTGGGTGTAAAAATATTTCTATTCTATTTCTACCATTGATTCTTTTAGAATCTTTACATTATTGGTGGCTCATTTGGTTAAAAGCTACATCAGTTAGACATTAAGACTAGATGTATAAATAGAGTGACCTAAAGGTTTTGTGATTTTCTATAATGGAACGTTGAGTTTATAAACTCAAAAAGTCCATATATGGACTCAAAAAGCATCCAATTTGTGATATTTGAAGTTGATGAGATTGTCACTTAAGGAAAATATTGGTGATCAATGCACATGTCTAAAAGTCAGTGGGAGCAGAGTGTTTTGGGTGCTCTACATTTAGATGATATCGAATTAGCAACTGTAGACATTGACTTATTGTTTGAGAGATTACATGTTGTTATGTCACTTCAGGTGAAGCTACCATTTTGGTTTAGAGATTAAGATTCTTTGTGACAAAATAGAGGCATATTCAATTGGTCTCAAAACCTACATTCAATATGTGTTTGTCAAGTAGGTTTGATGTACACTATTATTTTCCTAGTAAGGCACTTATCGCGAAAATGAAAGAGCTCATGTCAAATATTCAGTATGCCTCAACTATAGGCAATCTAATCTATGCTCAAGTTTGAACACATTCTAATGTTATGTATACTACAGTTGTACTTCAAAAACACTTGAACAATTCTATATTCAAATGTCAATGATCCAACTTTTAAGATTTAATCAAATATTTTATACAGATTTTGTATGTTGTTGAAGCCAATGCCGGTAGTTTGGCTAGAGAAGTTTTTTTTAAGACAATGTGAAATGAACACTTACACCGTCTTTGATTATGAAGGTAAAACATGTAGCATGTGGTGGAGCTCTATGTTTGATTGTTGATTATAGAATCTTATCTCAAGGCTAGATTTTGGGTTTTCCATTCTAAAATAGCTAAGGATGTTTTGGGGTAAATCTGTAATGGTGGCTTTCTCTTAGATATTAAGAGTTTCTCACACTCTATATGTATAGATATCATTATTTAATATATTAGAGAGAAAGTAATTGAATCCATTTTTGGTATAAATAGTAGAGTAAATAATCTATAGAGCTCAGTCTGATGTAACCACTAACTAATTTTGGCTGTTCAAATGTCAGACAACAGACCCTTATTCAAGGCTTATAAAGCTTTTTATTGTATCAAGTTAATGGGAGCTCTGTGTAATTGAATTGCAACCGTGATCGATGGATTCCTATTTGTTATATGTATATACTATTTGCGCACATTCTGTTAAGTTTGACATTTTGTTAAATGAGACATTCAGGTTTAGTCTCATGTGCTTCCTTCAAAGCAACGCATCATTAAATTTAGATTTGAAAGACCTAATGAAAATGGATACTAATTTTGTTTTCATACCATTTCCATTTCACACTATCATATTATTACTTCTAAAGTATTTATGAGTTTGTGTACACGTGTTTTGTTAGTATGATACATTTTGAGGCTCATAAATACTTCTTGTTGTTTTGTTGTTGATACAATGCATTCTGAAGCTTATGAATTTCTTCAGGTTGCTGAGAGCATATAAGTCCATACATTGGTACCCTATCGGTACAATGTATTTTGGAGCTTATAAATGCTCATTTTGTTGTATGATGATTTAAGTATACACTCATATTAAAAATTTCTATTTATGACCATTTTGTTAATCTTGATTCAAATTTAATGATTTGTATTGTCCAAGTGAGAAATTATTATATTTATCTCATATTAGTGGACTAACAAAGTCATTATATACTGGATTATATTAGTTAATGTCAATTAATAAGTAATTGATGTGGTACCACATTATAATATACTTAAATAGTAATATGATTATTGTTAAGTGTAACTTTAGTTTAATTGTATTTGGACCCATAGTAGTATTGGTCAATTTTGAGTAATTTGTTAGGGAAAGTTCTATTCTCGTCTCTATATATATGAGATTGACCCATTGAGTTTTATAACTTTAGTTTAAAAAGGTAAAGAGTAATTCTCTCTCCTTTTTATTGTGTAGGTCTCCAATTAGGCCCTGGAGACAAGTAATGGAGAGCTCATGATGGTAGCATCAATTTTATAAATGTAAATCCAACGAAATTGAACTCGTACCTGCATTCAAATCAGTTTTAATTTTTGTTAAATTATATTAATGGCCATGTAAGCTTTTAGGCTGAATCCAATATTCATCTCCTATGAAAATGTTGAAGTAAACTCAATTAATCCTATCAGGTTTATTAGCTTTTCCCTTTCAATTATAAACGTTCTCAAACCTATAATATTAATGTCATGGTTGGAATGGAAATTCATCACTATAACAACCTCATTTCTCAACTTTTGTAAAATTTTTATTTTCCCAACTTTATCAATTAGAGAGTATTCGGTGGATTTGATATTAAAAGTTGAGAATTTAAATTAATTGATTTGATTTGAAATAATTTATTGAATTAAATTGCATTAAAATAATTAAATAAAATAAAATATTTTAATGAAAATTGACTTAAATTGGTGGATTTTGTCGATTTGTTTGGTTTTAACTATTTGAAAAATATATCATTTATATTATTATACAAAAAGTTATTTTACATTTATATATTGCATACATTATATTATTATATAAAATAAATTTATATAATATATATGATTTTAAAATATTATATAACATATTATATATTAAAATATATTTAAAAATAAATTAACTCAGTCTATTGATAATTGACCAAATTAATCAAATAAATAATTTTTTTAACTGATTGATATAGAAATAGAACAATTTTAATCGAAATTAATTTATTCTTGTAGCATTTGGATAGCGCCACTTATTTTCAAAGTAAGATTCTCTACCATGACTTATGATTGGTGAACGAAGCTGTTCACTCATGTCTCGACGGACATCTGTATATGTGCTTCAGCTACAGCAAAAGTGAATTTTTTTTAGGATGATTCCAGAACCGGTTGTCTCATGAATTCCTTCGTGGTTTTTCCATAAGCGTAAGTTTCAAGCTCATGCTTTTCTTCTATGTGAGGTCAATTTTCCTTTACATATGTTAACATTCGACTCTTTATTTTCTGCTTGGTGTTTTTTCTCGCGTATATTTATGCTGATTTTTCTATTAAATGAAAGCAATTGAACAAATTTCTAGGTTTTTTCCATTCATCTGGTAATACTTTTGATGATAACAAACAAATTTTGATGCAAAAGTAGATACTGTGCAAGTCAATTCTCTGAGATTTAGAGTGTAGGATAGATTTTATGATCTGAGTCAACTTAGGTTTATCAAATATTGATACTTATTTTTTATCTTTGCAATCATAATTTTTTTTTTTTTTTTTGCTTTAGTTCCTTTAGCTTTACGGATTCCTTGGCTCCCTCTTTTTTGATATAGTTTTTGTGGTAGTAACTGCAAAATCATAGACCATGTGTACTCTGGTTTTCAAATGAATTTTAGAATTACACGCTTAGGAGCTTCTCTCTGTATAGCATAGCTCTGGGATTGATTGAGAGTTCAATTTTGATATTAGAATGGCTTCAAGTGATAATGGGAATCAGAAAGAGCAAATTGAGGAATCCAATGTCACTAAAACAAAGGGACAAATTCCCCTTCACATTTCATCATCACAAAGGGTGCTTCTGAACGGTGAAAACTCTCAAAGAAGGTCCCATAGCAGCTTTATGTCTCCTCCGAATAGAATAAAGTTTCTCAAATTTGGCTCTGCATCTGCCAAATTCAAGCGCTTAGTAGAAGAGAGAGATGAGGTTTCTCAGTTGGTGGCTTCTTCAAGCGGTCATGGTTTACGAGAACGTCTGACAGGGGTTTTTGCAAAAAAAATTGATCAGGTTTCTCTGATGAAAATGTTTAAGGAATGGATTAGGGACCCAATGAACATGGCCCTTTTTGTATGGATCATGTGTGTTGCTATCTCGGGCGCCATTCTTTTCCTTGTCATGACTGGAATGTTGAATGCAGTGCTTCCTAAGGAGTCCAAGAGAAATGCCTGGTTTGAAGTCAACAATCAAATTCTCAATGCGCTGTTTACTCTTATGTGTCTTTACCAACACCCTAAGCGAATTTACCATCTTGTACTTCTTTGTAGATGGAGAGCAGAAGACATTTCCCGACTCAGAAAGATATACTGTAAGAATGGGACCTATAAGCCCCATGAGTGGGCACACATTTTGGTGGTTGTTGTGCTACTCCATATCAACTGTTTTGCTCAGTATGCCCTTTGTAGTCTGAACTTGGGATACAGGAGATCTGAGCGACCTGCTATTGGAGTTGGGATATGTGTATCAATTGCAATAGCAGCTCCGGCAATGGCTGGTGTTTACTCCATTGTTAGCCCTCTAGGGAGGGATTATAATTCTGAAATGGATGAGGAAGCACTGAGACCAATTGACACTGGTGAAAGTAAGAGGCCAGAGCAGTTGAGAAGGATATCATTGGAGAAGAGATATTCATTTGCATCCGGAGATGAAGAGAGAATTGTTGAGTGCAGGCCACTCTGGAGTGGAGGGATACTTGACTTTTGGGATGATATTTCTCTAGCATGTCTTTCACTTTTTTGTAGCTTTTGTGTCTTTGGGTGGAACATGGAGAGACTTGGGTTTGGGAACATGTATGTACATATTGCAACTTTTCTCCTGTTTTGTATGGCTCCTTTTTGGATTTTCAACTTGGCTGCTGTGAATATTGATAATGAGACTCTCAGAGAGGCTCTTGGTGTCACCGGAATTGTTCTTTGTGGTTTTGGTTTACTGTATGGTGGCTTCTGGAGGATTCAAATGAGAAAGAGATTCAATTTGCCAGGTTATAACTTCTGTTTTGGTCAACCAGAAGTTAGTGATTGCACACTGTGGCTATTCTGTTGTTGGTGTTCTCTTGCTCAGGAAGCACGCACTGGGAATTCTTATGATATTGTAGAAGATAAGTTCTTAAGAAAGCAAATGGACCATGGTAACCAGTTGCCAATATCACCTTTACCTTGTGAAGATGGGATCATCCAATTTAGTTCTGGCCCCAGTTCTTCACCTGGGTTCAATTCTAGCCCAACCATGAGATTTACAGCTAATTCTTCAAGTCCCAGAATGGTTTCAAAGGAACGTTATAGTCCAGAGCAGCAGCTTTCTACGATGAAAGAAGAGTTGTCTGTAGAAGGTAAAGATGAAACTATGATTCCACCCGCTCTGTCATTGATACAGAGAGAAGAAACATAATTGAGGGAAATTTTCAAACGTCATTGTCTTTGTCTAATGAGTTGTGGTCATGTACACAAATGCTTTTGAGAGCATTGAAATGCATTATAATTTCACATTTCTCATACTTTCTCATTTCTTTTTCTTGTTGGATGAATATATGTAAATTCCCGTTCAGGAGTACTACACTGATTTTCTAGAGATATCTCTTTCTTAGCAGCATTAGTTTTCAAATGATATGGCAAATTTTGTTTATAATTGAAATTGCTACTTGATGTCTATCCAGAGCATTAGTTTTATGACGCAATCTAGCTTAAGGGTAGTTTTCAAATTCTATGAAGCTTTATACATATCTGTACATCTTGTCATTCTTTTTTTTTTTTTTTTTTTTTTTAATCATCATATTGTTCGGTTCGGTATCACCTTTTTAGTTTGTAAAGATTTGTCCATGATGAGTTCCAAAAGAAGTCAAGCTTCGTCCTGAGTGGCTAGAAAATGTTTGATAACTTCAATGATCCCTTTCTATCTTCAGATGCAGAACGTGCCCAAAAAAAATTCTTTTGACATAGAACCAGAAGTACTTAGAGACTTGACCGAAAACTATGTGTAGTTGCTTTTCATTATCCGAACCTGATTGTTATCAGGAGGAAAAGATGGTTGAATATGATGCCCGCAGAATTATAGCAGAATTCACTGTTTCTGGGGTCATCATCTCTGCGATTTGTTGTTTGCTTTTGATCGTATCAAAAAGACCCTATATATGAAGCTAAGCAGAAAAGGATTTAAATAGCTGCCTTCAAATTCTTGGAACAAACACCATGACCTTACAGACAATTGATTTTAACAGGCACAACTATAGGAAATTTGCATAAACCTGCTACTTCACTTCCACCTCAGTATTCTGTCTAACAATGAAAATACCTTCTCCAATACACAATATATGAAGGCGTGGTGAATTGGTATTCTTGTTAATCTCAAAAGATATTATGAACTTTTACTCAAGCTACGTGACCAGCTGCCCATTATATGTTAGGATATGTGAGGTCCAGCTCCATTGGTTTTGGTCAATTAAAAGGCTTAAAGCTTTTTTTGTTTTTGATCTAAAAGAGTTTTACTTAAATAAAGCCTTAACAATAAAAAAAGTTATGTAATAAAGAAACAGAAGGCAACGCCGAAACCAAAAGAAAGAAGAAAAGACAAAAAAATTAAAAAGAAAAGGGAGAAAGGAGAGTTGGTTAAACGGAAATCAATCCGTGACCCGATTAAGCTAAAATTTTGTTAGCAAATTTATGATTTAGAATTTTACATTCTAAACAGTGAAAATCGAGTTTAAAGCTCTTTAAGAACAAATTTAAGATATATTTGTTGAGTCACTTATTTAGTGAGATTTCTCTAATTATCCTTTTAGTTGTTGATTAGCTCTAGTTTTAGCTAAAGAAGAACTTTGTATATCCATTGTTTGATAGTGAAAATTTTTCTTGTAGTCTATGATTTTTTTCCTTTACATTAGAGGTTTTTCACATAAATTTTTGTATGCTTTATTTTTTTTTATTTTTTATTATTGATTATTGTCTATTACTATGGGTTTATTATTATATATTATTTTTGTGTTGTTATGTTTATTAATTCAGGCCTAATAAGTGGTATTAGAGCAAGGGTTATTTTTGTGACATCGATACAAAAGTAACTCAGGATAAAAGTAAATTCTATTTGAGATCATGAAATATGATACAGGTTTAATGATAAAATTGATAACATCAAATTATTCAATTTATAAGCCTATGATGGAAGATTATCTATACTGCAAAGATATTGGATGATTCAGCTAAACTACCAGATAGAAAAGATAAAAGCTGAAAGAAGTTAAGTAAAAAGACACTAGTTATAATTAAAAAGTAGGTTGAAATCAGTATGTTTTATCATGTAGCACAAAAGACCAATGCCTACATTGTTTGAAAAAAATTGATAGCATCGTATGAGAGAAAAACATGTATGAATAAAGTTATGCTTGTTAAAAAATTTGTAACTTTACAGTACAAGGATAGATGATTGATTACAAAGCACATGAGAGATTTTTAAAATATATTTAATCAAATGACAACTATGGAGCTTAAGATGGGTGATGAAATGAAGGTGTTATTTCTTTTAAGTTCATTGCCAGACAGCTAGAATACTTTAGTTGTGACTGTTCTTGATCCAGCTCCTGATTACAAGGTGACATTGGAGATGATAAAAGATAGTATGCTTAATAAAGAAGCAAGATAAAAAAATTTTGACTCTAGGAATCAAGCTCTTATTATAGAAAATAGAAATAGAAACATCGATAGAGGTCAGAACTAAAAAGACCATAATAAGTCTAAACGTAGATCCAAGTTCAGAGATAAAGTGAAGTATTTCCATTATGATAAAACTGGTCATATAAAGCGATACTACAAAACTTGAAGCAAGAGTGGAAAGATGAGAAAGATAAAAGTTCAACTGATGACAATATTGCAACAGTGAACTCAGACAGTGATTCAGTTACTTTGATTTGTACATATGGTGATGTAATCATATTTATGATCCTAGCATTGAGTGGATAGTTAACATAGAAACGGCATATCATTGTGTTCCTAAGAGAAAGTTGTTTACAACTTATAAAGCAAAAGACTTTGGTTACACCAATATGAAAAAAAAGATTGTTACAAATTATTGGGATTGGTGTTATTGTTATACAAACTAGTATGGGCTACATGTTGACTTTAAGGGATGTCAAACACATTTTGGATATGAGAATGAATTTTTTTTGCTATTAATGTCCTTGATGAAGAGAGATATAAAAGTCGACAAAAGAATGGATAGTGAAAGTTTTTCGAAGAATCTATGGTAGTTGTAAGAGAAAAACCATGTTACATAATGTACAAGACATAGATGTAATTGAACGATAACCAGATAATGCCATTGAAGATGATGCTTCAACAAACTTATGGCATAAGAGGTTAGCCCACATGAGTAAAAATGGGTTACAGATTTTGACAAGGTAGTCTCTTATTCTCTTAACCAAAGGTATATCTTTCGATTTATGTAATCATTATTTATTTGATAAGCATCATAGAGTTTCTTTTCATAAGAGTTCTCAAAGAAAAGAAAACATATTAAAATTTATTTATTCTAACATATGTGGTCCTATTAAGATTGAGTTATTGGGTGATAATAGGTATTTTGTTACTTTTATTGATTTCACGTGAGGCTTGAGTATATATGTTGAAAAATAAAAGTCAGGTATTATAGTATTTTCATAAATTTCATATCATGGTGGAAATGATGACAAGACTACCTTTGAAGTGTATTTGGACTAATAATGGTGGGGAATACACATCCAAAAACTTTGAAGAGTACTATTCAAAGCATAAGATCAGGCATAATATAATAGAACTTGAAACACCACAATATAATGGTGTAGCTGAAAGGATGAACAGCACTATTATGAAAAAAGTCAAATGTATGTTAAGAATGACAAAATTACCAAAATCATTCTAAGGTGAAGTAGTCAACACAACTTGTTATTTGCTTAACAGATCATCATCAGTTTCTTTAGGCTTTGACATTCCAAAAGGAGTTTGGATAGAGAAAGATACTTCATACTCTTGCTTGAAAGTTTTCGAGTGTAAAGTATTCATACATATGTCGAAAAAGCAAAAGTCAAAGCTTGATAATAAAGTCACACAGTGTATGTTTGTAGGATATGGTAATAAAAAATTTGACTACAGAATATAAGATCAAGTGAAGAAAAAAACAGTCAGAAGCAAAAATATAGTCTTTCATGAAAAAGAAATCATATTAGATCTTGAAAAAAATAAAAAGATTATATGAGTTATTATTTAATATAATGTTTCAACACCGATAAGGGTTCCACCAAAAAGAGCCATAGATGGTGAAATTGAGCAAGAAATAAAACTTGAGGGTACAAATGAGCTGACCATAGTTAATGATGAGCTAGATGCAATTAGTTTTGAGCAAGGGGAGCAATCATCTCTTCTTGAGAGTGTTGAGTAAGGTGAGCAATCCTTTCTACCAAATAGTATTAAGTAGGGGGAGTGACCTTTAGCATCAAATAGTGTAAAGTCTTAGCCTAAAAAATCTATAAGATAACACAAGTTATGCACTAGGTATCCAAGTTTAGATTTTATTTTAGTTACCAGTAAGAGAGAGTTAGAGAGCTTTCAAGATACACAGACTACTCCGGATAAAGAACACTAATTAAAAATAATAAAAAAATAGTCATTATGAAAAAATGGTATATATGATCTTGTTAAACTTTCGAAAGGGATAAGGTCATTGAAAATAAATGGGTGTTCAAGTTGAAAAAAGAATATGATAAACTAGTGTAGTACAAAACTCGATTGGTGGTGAAAGGTTTTTTTCAAAAACCTGACATTGATTTTGATAAGATTTTCTCTCTAGTTATAAAGATGAGTTTCATTTGAGTGGTACTGAAATTAACAACTAGTTTGAATCTTAAGCTTGAACAACTTGATGTTAAGATTACTTTTTTGTATGTGACTTATAAAAGGATATTTATATGGATAAGCCTAAAGTTTTTAAAGTAAAAGAGAAAGAGCACGTAGTTTACAAACTAAAGAAAAACTTGTACAGCTTGAAACAAGCTCTGCAATAGTGGTATAAAAAGTTTGATTCTTTTATAGTGAGCCACAGCTATAAAAGAACAACAACGAATCCTTATGTGTATGTCAAAACAAATTTTTATGATAACTTCATTATTCTTTTATTATATGTTGATTATATGTTAATTATAAGACAAAATACTGGTATGATTTATAGATTGAAACAATAATTATCTAAGTCCTTTGACATAAAAGATTTAAGTCTACCAAAGTAAATTCTCGATATAAACATTATCCAGGATAGGAGAACTAAAAAGCTGTGATTGTCATAAGAAAAGTATGTTACATGGGTGTTTAGTAGATTCAATATGTAATATGCTAAATTAATTAGCAGTCCACTTGCCAACCATTTTTATTTGAGTAAAAATCTTATCCGATGACTAAGAAATAGCAACTAGCTATGTCTAATATTCTTTATTCTTCTGCAATCCATTCTTTGATGTATCTTATGGTTTGCACACGATCTGACATTACTCATGCAATTGGTGTAGTAAATATATTTTTTTCTAATCTAAAAAAGGTTCACTAGGAAGCAATGAAATGGATTTTTAGATATTTTAAGGGTACCTCAAAAATATGCTTGAGTTATGAAGTTTCAAACTAGTTCTAAAAAAGTTTAT